ATGGGTACATATATACCCCCTTTTTTGTGGTTAAGGTAGTGGTAAGAAAAATGATGAATCTCGGTACATCGATGATTTCAAATAGTAGACAGTGTGTAGCAGGCATCACGACAAATTATGCATAGACAGCCAGAAAAACGGAAAGGGAGAGTAGTGTGGGGATTAAACATCATATGGCCAAATAGGTGTAGTTTTTTTCATCACGAGAAGCATGAACAATATAGACATGGTGGTGATGGCTATGAATTTAAGCGCCTCGTACTTTTTTACGCTTTATGAGCTGTAAGCTAGTAGTGTGTTTTGCCTACGGCTTAAGCTGCTAGTAGCTTATTGGCACTACTAATTCAAGAGAAAGCAGCTGCGCACCACATTGTACGCTAGTGTTGGACAATGTTAGATCCAATTTTTTCACGTGCAATTTTGCTGATAAACTCTGGGGTTGAGGTGGAAGAAGAGAGTTAAAAAACTAGCCAAAGCTGACAAAGCCTGGTTGGATAGACATATAATCATCAATCCTGCCCCCATTTTAGACATTCGAAGACGACGAGCATTTTAAACGTTAGACCATTGATAAAGGTTCAACACAAAGTGTTCTGTAACATAGACCTCACTAGCATTTCATTGTTTTCTATAATTTTAACCGTTGTATGCCGGATATAGCTTCACTGCTTGTAGCATCCATAAGTTTATCGGAAAAAATTCTTTACAGGCCAATTTCACGCAATGGATTGCAATCAGTCGTTTTCAAAGAAATGCTCATTGACCATAATGGATCATTGTCGGTTGCAAAACTTGGCTATAATCTGGATGTGACAGATATTACGAAAACAGAGGGTAAGAAACGCTTTGCGATTAAAAATGTAAAACTGCATCAAATCGCGTGTTATCTAAGACTACATGGCTAATAGATCCAAATGATATACAATCAAGTTGTGAAAGGGGTGCTATAAGCGTCAGGATGTGCTCTTCGAATTTCGAAAGCTATCACCTACTTGATGCATTGTAAACCTCTGTGAAACGTACCTCTGTCACCATTTCGACCTCGGTCTTGCTCTTTTGCATTATTTCATAGTAGTTTTCACCTTGATTACTAGGTCTCTGAGAGAGTTCTGAACCCGTCATTGTGCATTTGATGGCGTGGTCCCCAGCATCATTGGCAAGCTGATCATCGTATCGCTGCAGATCAAAAATCTTAGAGAGAAAAAGAATGTGAAACGCTCATTATACCATTATAAACATTGTTGAAGCTTTTGGCAGTTTACTTCCTCCTTTTCCGCTTACCCTACCAGTTGCGACGTTCGACCTAAATTGTAGCAACTCTTGAATTCGCTGATCTTTACTGTTTCGGTTTCTGCGAAGAATTATCGGAAAGGTGTATTACTGTTGCTAAAGTAAAAACCAAATAACTTTTTTTAAAAAATATCTTTGGTGAAGGAGGCGTTTTTGTTCAGGAAATCATCAAGGCATAAAAAAGGCTTCGGGAGTACTCCATAATTCTTTCCTATGGAGCTTTTTAAAAGTATCACAGAATTGAGGATAAGTGCATTTACCTGTATCTATTGTGTAATTCAAGTACTTTTTTCCTAGCCGGCTGTGATAGCGCTTGAGCCTGCCTGCTTATTTTACTCGGCGTTACAGGGCCTGAAGAAATTAATGTAAAAAATTTCTACATTGTATTTGAATGAGCGTTTAGGTTTTTACTCAAAAAAGTCGCACTAAAAAAATTGCGTGAAAAATCTGCCTTGTTTTGCTTCAGCTCTTTGTTTTCACATCGACTCACCTTCATTTCATCCTTAGGTAAGATAAGTAATACGAAGAATTTCCTGACAGCTGAAAGAGTTTGACAATTGAAAAATCGCTGTACCGTCCTATGAATTAAGTTGTCGGATGAATTCGTGCCGTTTTTTTTTGTGAAAATTAAAAATCGTGAAAGAGCGAAACTTTTGCCAGCCAATTACACATCATTCGAAAGAAGTTTCTTTATGGATAATATATTTGGACTGTTCAGTGATTTCGATTTTACTGAACTAGAAGCGATTGAACATGTATTGCAGAAGGCCAAAAAACTCCCACCAACTACATGATTTTTTTGATGCAAAAAGCTTGAAAATTGCTGTGGCAAATTTGTGGGAAGATGATATATGCTTGTTATGAAAACCTATGACTGTAGGGTGTTATTGTTGGATTATGACAGATATGTTCTACAGTGATCACAGACACGGATTTGTTGAAAAGTGGTTCAGTGAGGTATTTGAAATGTTGATTACAAGAAACTTATCCACATCTCACAGCATAGCCTCAGTGTGGAATTTGGAAGAGTGCACGATGAAAGCGCCAAGATCATTGATGTACCGAGAAACTGTTTAACTTTCAGCTTGTCTGCCAAATGGACTTTGAGGAAACGATATTTTAGTGAGCAACATGTTATCCAACGGCAATGGACCGTTATTCAGGCAAATCAGTGAACTTGATCTCGCAGCCTACACCTGCAGTAGTCCTAAGGTAATGTCCTTTGGTAATGGCTATGATTTTCATAATCAGCATAGCCAACACTCCACTAGTTTCGTTATTGTAAATTTCGAGTTCCTTACGATCCAGGAAAATTAGCTGTCTATCAAGCTTTCATGGTCTTCTGCAATAAGGACTCATTCGATTCTATTCTAAGAACGATAGCAATGACCAAGTCAAACATAACATATTGTAAAGGGAGATTTCTACTTTCAAAGGCTGTTGAAACTTCGGTTTGTTATAACATTGACTGAAAAAAACGGCAAAAACCTATTCGGCAACCATATAGATTTCAGGTGAAAACTTATGGAAATAATTTTGTTCCCTTGTATCCCGTTAAACAGGCTATAGCGGAACCAAATCAAGCGCTGTCTTCCTTGCTAGGGCCAGATAGTGTTCCTTTGAGGAAAAAAACGCGCTTTGAACAAACAGCGCCGCAGTACTTGTCCTTTGCACATCTTTCTACAGGGTGCAAAGGTAACTTCGTTTTGCTGATTTTGCAAGAAGTTACTTGTCTTTTAGGGCTCACTCAGACGTCGTCCCAAGGCCTGTCAACAATCATTCTGCAGACTGCTTTTGGAAAAAGGACCTTCGTGTACCTCACCTTAATTTCATCATAACATTCGCCTAATTTGGAGCTTCTTGAAATATTCACGGTAGAAAAAGTCCTAAACGTCATGTGCACGAATGCATAAAAACTAGCTGTCATAAAAATCCTGTCAAACAATAGAAGTTAGAAGTAATTGAAGATTTCAAAGCCCACCTAAGAAGACAAGCTGCGGTGATGACGTTGTTACTGTAGGAGTTGCTGTTCTCGTTGTTCTAGATGAAATTGTTTGTTTCGCTGCCGTCTGCTTCCTCTGCTTCCGTGTACGCCGGCCTGGCTTAGCTTGCCACGGTCGCACTCTACGTGCAGTGGTTGTGCGTTTAGTCGTAGTCGTTGTTGCTGTTGTCGTAGTTGATGTTGCCGTCGCTGATGTTATTGGACGAGTAACTTGGTGCAATTGGCTAGTGCACGTGCCACTGATGCATAACCATCCACTTTTACATTCTTTATTTAAATTGCATATGCCTCGTATGCAACTTCCGTCTTGACAAATGTAAGAAGTCGGACAGTCATCACCTGAAGAACATTGTGGTTTCAAGCATTTTGACCGCAAGCATTTCAGTTCCGATGATGCACAATCTGCGTCAGCTGTACACGATTGTCCAACTTTCAAACATTTCGAGTTAATGCAAAGAGTTATGTTGTAGTATTTGCAATCTGTGTCCACAGTACATGATTCTCCAACTGGTACACATCGTGAATAAATGCACATCAAATGATTTGAGCACTCCTGATCATCAGTGCAATACTGACCGGCACGCACACATGTACCTCCAATGCAAACACTGTTAGGGTAATTTGGACAGTCATAATGTTGTTCGCATGATTGACTTAACTGTGTGCAACGTTTTTCTATGCAATAGGTCGTACTGGGACAATCTTTATCAGTGTTACAATACCCAAGTTTGGTACATTTTGAGTTCACACAGTATAGCTGAGAATGAGG